CTCACTCCGAAACCTGCAGAGTCCTGAGGCTCTGGCAGACACAGCTGCCTCTCAGCCTCTGTCCCTCTGTGAAGCTCTCTAATTAATTCCCTAGTACCCATGAACACCATGTTCTGTCCCACTGTTCTGCTCTTCAGAATTGACAGCAAAGGGGTTTGTTCCTTGTCTGATGAATATTAACCTTTTTTATCTGACAGAAATGCTCACTAAATAGTATAATAAGAGCCCTAAAATATGCCGGAGCAAATTCCTGTGGGATTTGTTTTTAAAAGCTTGTGTACTAAGGGAACAAAGGTGCTGCACCTGTGGTGTCCATCCATGTGTGTGTCATCCTACTCCAACAATGTGTCAACCACTGGTCAGCTTCAACTAACACCTGGAAGCTGACCCCATTTCCACCACTTTCAAAGGAAGTAACAGAGGGAGGCACAAACATCTGTGCCCTGAGCAAGTGAAACGGCTGGCAGAGACCAGTGGTGGTGAAAGCTGGTCTGTGTGACATGGGGCTGGCCGTGCTCAGCACGTGCCCAGCTCAGAGAGCCCAGCAGCACCAGCGAGTGCCCCTGCACAGCTCGTGGGGAGCGTGAGGACCCAGCCTCTCAGCATGGTCGGGGTGAAGGATGTGCTCCTTCCAGGACTCGTGGAGCTTGTACACTCTGTCCTACTACAGAAACAGTCCTTATTACCCGAGTCTAAGCCCTGCTGTTGAACATTCCCCCTTCAGGGAGGCACAGGAATTTAGCCTCCTGAAGGGACAGCTGAGGTCAACAAGCATCCCCTTCTTCAGAGCCAGCAGCTATCAGTGGTATACAAGGTCACACACCTAAGAAAAGACTTTGTTTAGCATGCGCACTTCCCATTGACTTCTCAGACCATTAAATCACTGTTTTCATGCTATGCTTGTACACATCATTCTGAAATTCAGGCTACCCAAAGGGCTTTAGGTTCAGTGAATAGCAGAGTGTCCATCACACACTAAAGGGCTGATGTGATTCCAGCAGCTCACAAGCCACCTCCTGATGCTGGGATGACCCCACGGGGTGGAGGGTGCCCCCAGCTCTTTGTTCTGCTCCCCTTTCAGGACTCTGCCTGTAAGACACTTGTTTCTGAGAGACTCTTCTTTTGTCTCTTGAGTGTTCAGTTTGGAGGCATCTTCTGCTGTGGGCTGAAACTGCACTGCCTGCCTGCCCAAGGCCATGGGGAACTGGATTCTGACCTCTCAGCCCTTCATCACAAATACTTAATGGCGGGATTCAGCATCTGGAAGGCTTCCTCCAGCACTATCAACCCAGTGAACTTTGCAAACCCTAAAAAAGTCAAGCAAGTCAACCATTCCAGCATCTCCCTTCACTGCATCTCTCCAGAAGATAAATACTGAGGCCAAAGGCATATCTGTCCTTTCTAATAGGTAGAAATAAATTGAATTTTCACAAGCTTTACTAACTGTAAATTAATTTTAGAATTAATCAGGAAATGAAATATACTGTAGGTCAGTAAATTCTGAAGAAAAATCTATTTGGACCATGATAACCTCACTGTCCTTCTGAGTGGCCCTCTCCTCAGTGATTTCTCAGCAGATACTCTCTCCTTGCTTCCCAGCACCTGCTGCTCTCAGAAGGAGTTCTCCTGCCCATCTGCCTTCAAACCTGAAGTGGTGACACAGACAAATGCAACTGTAAGCAATGTCTGAACTCCAAATACAATCACCAATTTGCTTCCTTAGCAAAACAGAAAAAAATCCAAAACCAAACAACACAAAAAAAGAGCATGTGCTTGTTTCTAACCATCTGGCCCACTGGAAAAGGAAACTTCACATATGGAAACAGCAATACTTTTCCCAAAGAAAACTATGGCAACAAGAATTCTAGGCATACACAAAAATAGTTACTTCGACCATCACCTAATCCACAGGATGTGCAATTATTTTAAACTAGTGTTGCTGAAACCTGGTTTCACAGAACTCTTCACTAATTTCAGATTATTCTATTAAAATGAATTATAATTTCACATGAAAGAAACCCTGGCCCTAGTTTCTAATAAACTCCTTGTCCACCTGTTCACCACAAATTGAAACAAACTCCTGCAGGAAGACAGGAGCCTTTGGCAATAACCAGCCAACTTCTGAACAAGCCTATTTTTTGCCATTTACATATTTAATTACATACTAGCCTCCAAGCAGCTACAAGCCCCATGTTCCTTTTTTGTATAGTTTGTTTCTTGTGAATACACATAGAGCACAAACCCAAACCACATTAATGATAACCTTGTTAAATATAAACTAGTGTGCAATTATACAAACTGCTAACACAAACAAAAAAGCCAGGGAACTCTGATTATATGTTCACAATGGTTTCTGAAAACCAAATAAAAATAACAACATACAGCAACCTGTCTTGCCTGACACTGTAACAGAAAAAGGTTTCACATTATAACTTACGTGTCTCAGCACACAGGACTAGTCTGTCAAACAACTCCTCAAACTCAATTTCAAGCTCACTCACTGCAAGGAGAGCAGAAGGGTGGGAGGAAAGGCAGCCAGTGCACACGTGAACTACCAAAAAAATCTGATTTTCCTCTCTGCATCATCCTTCAGATGAGCTAATGCCTGTCCCTAGGCAGGTGCTGTGACTTTCACCCTGTCACCCTGAGAAGGGCTGGCTGTGTGCTAGGGATTTGGCTCCTTCCTCTCCATTAAGAGAGCAGGAGAAGGGCTGCTCGAACCCTCTGTTCTTGGGTTTGTGCCAGCCCGGTGCATGCCTGCGATTTAACTTCAGCACAGCCACGGGTGAGCCCAGCAACCAGAGCTCCTACCACACCTTTTCATTAAGAAGATGAGCCACTAACATTCTGTGCAAGCTCTGTGGTCTTGCAGCTGCCCGTTCCTGGTGTTTAAAAATACATCCTTTTTCCACAACAGAAACAGATCTATTGAAGGCAAAGTCTGCCCTGGACTGCAGCATCACGACAGCCAGCAAAGGTGGGGAACATTACCCAGAGCTCTCCCACACCAGGGTCAGCCTTTAGCAAGTGCTACAATGGAGAGACTCATTCTTCTCAGTGGAGTAATGCAAACTGAATCTAGCCCTGAAGAAAACAAAACAGTGTGAGAAAACCGGCACTTTCCTTGCAGCCTGCATCACAAGCAAAAATATGGCACAAATGACAGCCGCTACAGGACTAGAGGAGCATCCTGGAAAGGTTTCCTTAGGTGACTTCTTTTGCCATGGACTTGGGTTATCCATTCAGTTTGTTTGCATGCTAGCAGCACAGATGAACTTGCCAGACTCTGGATTTCTAGGTTGTAAACAAGAACAGTAATTACCTTTCTCTCTTAAACTCCACTCTGTTCTCATGCAATTAAAAAAAAAAAAAAAAAAAAAAAAACAACCTATGGGTTGTGGAAGGAAACGTTCAGAAAGTGGGAAAAAGGAGCAAGGGGAAAAAATGACTGGAGTAGAGTGATACCAGTGAGATCTAAGTATCCTTCCCAGAACCAAGCACAGCATAAAAGCATGCAAGAAACAAAAACCAAGGATGATCCCTGGGAATCAAGAAAAGTAATACTGGAATACTGCATCAATAATGAATTCACTAAGTAGAAGGTCGAGAAGAACCCAGTCTCCTGAATGCTAAGTTCAAGAGTAAGAAAGCAATTCCCAAATCATGGTCTGTGGGTCACTTCTCCCCCACAAGGCTGTGGGCAGAATCACATCACAGAATGAAATGCAGGAGTGTGAGTGTGTGACACAGCTGTGCAGCTGATCCACAGAGCAATTAGAGGGTTGTCACTGCAGAAAATGTTTTGAGAGACACATGACTGGGAGCAGAAGGGTGATAACTCACCAGCAGGCATTCTGCTTGGGAAGGTGCGGCTCCCTCTAGCACAGCACCTGAAAAGGGGCTCAAAAAAGCCCCCAAAACAACCCAGATGGGGGGGGGGGGGGAACAACCAACAGTGGGGCATGCGGCTAACATAACTTTCCCCTGGAATACCTCCAATTTCTCCAAGCTGGTTGGTTTTGAAAGGGACTTTTCTCCAGCGATCTATGCTCAATTACCCTTATAAACCCTTGCAATAACATGTGACTCAAAGTCTACCTATTTGTCCAAGGGAGAAACAAGGAGGGAGTGTGGCAAATGGGGAATGTGGGAGTGGCTGCCGATGTGGGCTTGGGGAGCACAGTCATTTCCTCCAGCTTCTTCCCCCCCTCCGTCTTTGATATCTGAGTATGTTGTTGAGGAAGTAAAGGAAGATGATTTTGCATCCACAGGCATTCACACATTTTTACATGATTGCACCTTCTTAGCCAGAAGTCTCAGCTTGAGAGCTGAAGCAGGTGAGGTTGCTCCTCCCGGAATTAAAAGGCAAAAGAGTACCCGGTATCAAGAAACGACCCAGAGGAACAAAGTGCTTGGAGATAAAGAGCTTATTTAGGGTGGTAGCGAGACGCTGCTTAAACCATGCGCTCGCATCGTAATCCGTGGATTTCGATGCAAAGATTTCCTTCCCCCTTGTGGGCTACCAGACCTGGCTACAGCTCACTTGACTCAGAGCCGCTTCCCAGCCTGCTGTCCTACAGGACAGGCAGCACGGCGGGCTGAATCCACCACCGGTCGGGAGAGCGGGGTGACAGCCGGGGCGCAGCTGGGCTGGGCTGCGGCGGGCACGGCGGCTGTGCGGCCGCTCCGCTGAGCGGGAGAGAAACTTTCAGCCACTCGCGCCCAGGCGGGACCGACCGACAGACCGGCTGCTGCCGCCCGGGAGGCTCGGGCACCTCCGCGGACCTGCCCCTGCACGCTCGCACATCCCCGCAGCTGCCGCTGCTCCCCGGCCGGACGGCAGCAGAGGGAGGCTCCCGCCCCGCGGCTATCGGGCCTCCCTCCCCACGGCTTCCCCCGGCCGCCCGGCGGCCGTGCCCGCCCTTACCGAGCCCATCGCCATCCCGCGCATCCCTTATCCCCGCATGCCGAGCATCCCTCATCCCCGCGGCGCTGCTTACCGGGACCGCTGCAGCTCGAAGGCGGCGGCGGGGCCGGGCTGCCCCAGGTCTCCGCTGCCGCCGATGCTGCCCTGGGGGCTGGTGCGGCCGAAGGGCGCGGGCAGCACCCCCGCCGTGAAGGAGTTGAGGCGGCAGCGGCTGCCCGCCGCCGCGGCGCCCAGGAAGACGGCGGGCGGCACCTGCACCGCGGCGAAGGCGGCTCCCCCTCCCCTCGCCGCTGGCCAGGCGCTGCCTGTCGCTGCCGGCCCGTCAGGCGGGCGGGCGGCGGGGCATGGGCGCCGCGGTCCCCGCGGGGTGCATGGGGGTGCCGAGGGGTGCGCTCCGCCCGGCCGCGCCGCGCTGCCCCGGGCCCCCGCCGCCCGCCCGCTCCGTATTTATAGGTGCAGCAGCCGAGCCGCGGAGCGCCCTGTGCAATAACACGGCAATCACGTGTGGGAAACGGGGCGCTGGAGGAAAACAAAAGCCCGGCCAGCAGCCCGGAGGAGGAGGAGGGAGAAGGGTGGGTCTCGGCGAGCTCCCTCCTTTCAACCTCTCTTTTTTTTTTTTTTTTTTTTTTTTTTCCTTCCCTTTCACCCCCTTCCCTCCTCCTCCTCCTCCTCTTTTTCCCTTCCTGGATGCGTGGGGGCGGGCGGGAGCCGGGGAAGGTGGAGTCTGTGCCCGTAGTACTCGGCACATGGCCCTCGGAGCCCGGCACCGAGCGCTCCGGACCCGGGGCTGCGGCTGGGTTCGGCCCGTCTGCGGCACCGGGAGCAGCGCTGGGAGCGGCACCGGGATGCAGCCGTGCCGTGCCGTGCCGTGCCGTGCCAAGCGGCCCTGGCGCTGCCCGCTGGTTTTCCCCGGTGGGGGCTGGCGCCCGGAGCAGGGGCTGGCAGTGCCCGATGGGCACGGAGGACAGTCGGGGTCGGGGAGCGGCCCCCGGGGATGCGCTTGAATGCCGACGGTGCCTTCTGCGATGCGGCAAACCTGGGCTGTCCCGGTCCCTGCTGCAGTCTGAGGCGTGCGAGTGCCTCTGTGTGTGCAAGTAACATCTCACGGGTTCCGTAAAACATCGAAGCAACCTCCTCCCCAGCCTTTCCTTCAACTCCGTCCCATACCCTTCCCTCTCCAGAGGGAAGCACATTTGCTTTGCTCTTTCCCAAAAGAGCATACAGCCTAAGCCCCAAATATCTGTATTCGTGTCGTCCCCAAAGTGAGGGCTGTTGAGCAGCTGACTGCAGGTCTGCAGCTGTGGCTTGCGAAGGCGGGCGGCCGGTCCACCTCAGCATGGAGCTCCTTCATTCCTTCGTTACTTTATTGTGACCAACTCAACCGTGCTATAAGCGTGCTTGTCCTGTGATGATAATTTCATCAACGGCTTATGTAAGGGCTGGATAATAGATATATACAAACAGAGGAACATATGGTTGTCGCAAGATAGCAACACGCACTTTCTTCATAAAGCATTACAATGGCTTGTATTGCATTCCAGTTATAGCTGGTGGATGACTCACAAGCCGTCCCAAACTGTCACAAAATATTGTGATGTCTCCTACAATTTTATCAAAACCTTGCTAATTTGATGATTTAAAAAAAAAATATTGATCAGAAAGGAGAAGCTGATCCCATTGTTAGAGGATGCTATGGATCCAGGTATGTGTTCTCAAGAATGATATTTTGAACATTCAAAGATCTGAAGATTGTGCTCTGTGACCTGTATTTACTTCTGAACCTTTGGCCTCTACTGAGTACCACAACCCCCAAATTTAGGCACCAAGTCTCTGGGGTGTGCTACTTTTCTTGTAAGGGACACTGTATGGGCAGCATCCTGAGCAAGAGCAGTGAGGAAGGGAAGGGGAAATGATGGAGGAAAGAGATGTTTTCCAGATCACACCTTCTTAGAGAGGTAGGTGAGTGCTGTTTTGAGATGGACATTCTCATTTCAGTCTGGTCTCTTGAGGTTTATACTGATTTTGTATTTCTTACCAGAGGGTACTTCTGTGCCTGTCCCTGTGGCATGTCAAGGATGGATCATTTGGATGGAAAGTGAGTAGGGCAGAGTACTGAACTCTCCTCCCCAGAGAAAAGGCCTAACTGACATGTCCCATCTATTGAAAAGATGCTCTGTACCCCTGTGGTTGCAAAGTGGTTCCTTCAAACTTCCGTTTTGGAGAGGAAGGCTGAGGAATTTCAGGCCTGCCACCTTCATTTGATGACAATGCTTTTTTCTGACCAAAGGCATTGTCCCTGCAGTGGCAACCAGTGAGATATCAGGGCACTGATACACTTGGCTCCTGTGGAGGAGTTCCAGGCTTCTTTCCCCACTTCCAAAAGAGTTCAGGACTTTTTGGAGGAGGAATCCTGAGTCGCAGATTCTGTAGCCTGGCAGTTGGTATGTTACTGAATGCTGACCCCTGGTCCAGGGACTACTACCAAATGGTAAATAGGTCATGGAACTCAGGCCTCCCACATTAGAACTGAGTAAGATAGACACTGGGATATTTTTTTCCCTCTTGCATTTCTGAGGGGCAGCAGCAACAGAGTGTGTATTTTCCTCTGGAGCTCAAAACCTCTGTATGGCAACTGAGTACTGGTGTATATTTGCCGAATTCAGCTTCTCACAGTACACAGGTCTGGGAAAGAGAGCCACCACCAAAATGCCGGAGGGGGTTCCAGAGGTTGGTTAAACTTAGGACATTTTTTATGAGGTCAGAAGTGTGCACTCCTTTCACAGGATTACTCTTTTGATGAGATAAATTCCTATCTGTTGGAAGCATTGTTTTAAATGAAGCCACAGCCTCTGTTTTAGAGCTCCTCCACAGCTGACCCAGAGGCAAGTGTTAGCCCTTCCCTTGTCCACGTGTGCATCTGAATGATTTTGGCACTGGAATTCTACAAAATAATTTTTTACAGTCTCTGCCATCAGGAACACTTATGTGAATGGTTGAGCCTATCAACCTCCTTGCATCAAAATTAGAGTGGTCAGGATAGAGTGTAGGTCTTTCCAGGCCTGGCTCATCCAGCTGAACTCACTTTGTCCCTTTGCAAAGTGCTTGTCTGTGCCCACCAGCCTAAATACTCCCATGGACCCAAACAGATGCTCTGGTCTAATATGCACAAACTGCCTCTGGAGGATACTGTCTTTTCCAAAAATCACACTGAAGGTTGGTTAAAACATCTCTTCAATTGCAAGTGAAAATAAACCCATTTGAGAAAGCTACGTACAAAAGAAGAAAATTACTTTTCCAGTCTGAAGTGAAGCTATTTTTGATAACGAGTGGGGTACCACAGTACAAAGATAATTGGCACGTTTGAAATACCCGGTTCTCTAGACCTATTTATACATTTAGTAGCACATTTAAATTAATGTGCACAACATAATATGAATTTTTTTCCAGTTACTTATGTCCTCTTGATCTGTGCTTAGCAAAACTTTAGGTGATCTCATGAGCTATAGAAGTCCTGTGTGCTGGAGGATATGTGAAAATGTTAAAAAAATTGATTTTGCTGGTTGAAACTTTTTTGTTTGATGGAGAAGCAGTGGTTGACTGGAGGAAATAGCAAAGTTGAAAGGAAAACCAAAAAGGCACATTCTGGAAGCTTGCTTCTGTGACTGTTTTTCCAATCATTTCCTTCTCCAAGTTCTCTTCCAACCAACCAGCTCTACCCAAGTGCAAGTAAATGTTTTTATTTCAGAGGTCACAGGCTTATGTAAGCGGTTAGATGACAAATGGTAATGGGAGTGATGGAGCATGATGGCTTTTTCACCCACTGCACCAAGACCTGCAAGAGAGACTCATCATTGTGGGTGTTCAGAGGCGGCATGGAATTTGGGGATCCTGTTAACACAGGTGATGGAGAGGCTTTCTTTGTAGAGATTGAAGAGGGTGGAGGGAGTTTGAACAAAACCAAAAGCTCGGCAGTTTACCTTTCTGAATAATGGGATTAGAGAAACAGTGCCTCTACATACCTGCCCTCAGAGGAAAGTTAACACGTGGAGAATCCTCATGTTGTCTTTAGTTTAGTTTAACTGGTGTGGGTGCAGTCCTGCTGCAAGGCGAGTGTGTGGCCAGCAGGATGTGAAAAGCCAGTCAGAAAGGACACAGACCTTGAGACCTTGAGCTGAAGTTGGGGTCCTGAGTAGTTTGTCAGGCCAAGCTTAAAAATATCTTTGCAGATGAGTTGAAAACTTCATACAGAATTTGAGTTAGAGGCAAGATTTGTGTTATACTGAGAGTTAACTCTGTGGGAATAACTGGTCCTGAGTCACCAGCGTGAGTCACCAGGCTAGTTCTTGAGTGGCCTCTGCATAGTGTTTGCCTGCTTTGGGGACAAAACCAAGTCTCATATTGTCACTGGTACTTGTTAGAGCTGCAGGACCTAGTCAGCTAGGGGAAGGAAGAATAAATGCAATTGTTAGTTGTAATTTTAAGAGTCTTGTTTTCTGAATGTCAGGCTCAGGTAATGCTGTTATGCAAAGTTCAGCAAAGATGTCTGGCGATAGTGCTCCTGTAGGTGAGAAGAGAGATCATTATTACCAGTGGTCTTGGATATCACTATCAGATCCCCGTAGCCAGGCAGAGTGTCTGTAGCCTGTGAGAACTCTATTCTTGCTGTGCAAGACTTTGGAGAAACAATCCAAATCCAATCTTTATAAACACTTTCTTTTTCCTTTACTTTGCAGAAGATAATTGCACTTCAAAAGGGGAAAGCAGTTGTAACATTGGAGAAAGATTTGGAATGTGAATTTAATAATCCTTCTGTTTAGGAGTGTCTGGCAGAAAAAAAGTTGGGGGAGTTGGAACAAATTTCACTGAGAGCCATAGTTAAGAATGGAAATTGGATAAAGACAGTAAAAATTCTTTACAAAAGACTAATACTGCATCTGGATAGCAAGACCTGTTTTAGTGCCAGGCCCAAACCTTCAGTCTGTTGTAAATTTAGCCTGATTCTCGGAAATGCTAAGTGCTTGTGCTTTTCACTGGTGATTTTTGAGGAGCCTGAATGTTTTGCTTGTTAAGGGTCACCTTTGCTAATTGAAATGTAGAATTTTGACACTAAGAAGAGCGTCACCTTCTTGGAAAAGCAGTGTTCCTTGGGTAGGATTGGTCCACGCTTGCCTCTCTGTGCAGAACCTAATTTTGCTTGCATCATTTCAGGGTAGGTCCCAACATCACCAAGCTGACATGAAACCAAATTCAAATACAGTAGTGGGAAAGTGACAGAAATCTGTGGGCACCGACCATCATGGTTGGAGTGGTGTGTGTGACTGTGGGGCAGGACCCACAGACAGAAGCAGGTGCCCTCAGCCAAGATGAAACAGTGTCTCCTCAGATCAGCTGAGGTGTGGATGGTCAGGGCACCCAGCCTGCCAATTATTTTGGTTGTCAGAGGTGTGGCATGCATGGTGTTTGTGTTTGTGTTGAAGAGTTCCTGAGATCATCAGTAAGCTGGTAGTGCACACACAGGTGGTAGAATTTAGGGCATTCTAGTTAAGTCAAAACTGGCCTCTGTATCATTACTCCAACTTACTGCATCTTCACTAAGGATACTTAATATTTTTCATTGCTAGATCCATGCTAGATCTGATTCAGGCCAAGCATTTCTTGGAAAACTGGTCAAAAACTGGTTGTGTGAGCTCCAAGGGCAAGACCATGAAAAACATATGCATGCACACGGCAGGGGGGCTGAGGGCTTGCACATCCAGCATGAATTTCTCCTCACTTCTTTCTTGCATCCTTGAATTTTTGAAGTTCCTTATTCAACTTAAGCTGGGTTTGAGGTTTTTTTGTTGTTGCTGCTGTTGTTTTTCCACTTTATATACTATTGGATCCCTTAAAGACCCACACTACACCTGAGGCTCCATTTTACTGGGTGCTGCTAAAATACTCTCCCATGTCTCAGTGAGCTTGCAGGATAACTAGACAAAACAAGGAAGGTGGCCATGTAGGAACTGCGTAGGAATGTGGCTGTTGCTGGCTCCTACTGGCTTCTACTAGAGTGATTAAATGGGAACAGTGCCACATAGCTCCTCCCTCCCTTGAAAAACAAAAACTGTGGGCATTTGTACAGAAAACAACCCCTGTTTCTGTTTGTCCTTGTCTTCCTGCAGTTTTATTCTTTGAAATCAGAGTTTGGGTTTTGGGTTTTTTTCAGTGTCATAAGTTAACATAGGTGTGAGGTTCAAAACAGAATCATCTTTATTGAAACAAGGAAGGGGCAAATGTCCTGTTTGCTTGGAAATCACCTTAGGCAGTGGTGTAAATAAAAATCGACTTCTAACTGCAGTAGAGCAGAATGACTCGTTGCTAAGACGAACTGTTTTAAGGTTTTCATTAAGTGACAGCAGTGATTTATCCTGTTCTTTACCATTCTTAGGCAATTTGGAATCAAGTACAGAATCGCTGGACATTAAGATTTCAGAGGGAAGCCTGGAAGAACATTCATCTTTGTCACAGTGTCTGTTAATTTTTAATCAGCTCGGGATAATTTTAAAACAGGCTGCAGGTTTCTGAAACATTCATGTTGGCAAGTCTTTCAGTTTGCTGGTTGCTGAGGCTAAGAAAACCCTCCAGTTCACAGGACAGTCTGACCAAGGAGCTGGATGAGAAGGAAAACGCTGTTGACACCTTCTCAGACACAGTCTTCAGTGCATAAAAACACTAAATAAATAGAATCTAAAGTTCCCAGAGGGACATGCTGGTGGAGTGTTTCCAACACTCTCCTACAAGTTCAGCTTGACTGGAAATATTTAATATCCAAGAAAAAGAAAGAAAAAATGTTCAAAGGATTTTTTTTTCCTCCTCTTGAAAATATTCAAGGAGTGTGACTCCAAGGGGAACGGAGGAAGCAAACGGAAAACTTCTGGTGGCAGAAGCTGGGTTTTTGCCTTCAGCTTCGTGGCGTTTTCCGGTCTGCAGGCAAGACGATATCCCACCAGCACCACATTTGGTTCATTCCAAGATTTCAGGGAAGGTTTCGGAGCCATTTTAACTTTGGAAGATCCTCACTGGGTAGTGCTCACTGCAGGCTGGTATGGAAAACTTGCAGTCAGAGGGGAGAAATAAAACCTGCGCCTGCATCTTTGTGGTCTGTCACCTTGGGCCACCTGCATGGGAGTCCCAAGGGTCTGCAGCCACTTTACCTTGCCCCCAGGATAGGGCACAGATCTTGCCTGGATCCCCTGAGCAATATTCCCAGCTAAATATTTGCCACTGGCAAATCTCCAACATGATAAAACCCAGCCA